GCACCCCACAGGGCCCCCCCACTGCCATCTCCTATAGAGAACAGTGCTGTGTCCCCCCCCTTGCCAGCCCCCCAGCTACTGCTGGGGACCCCAGCAAAGCATCACCCCCCCCTCCTCCAGCCACAGGCAGAGACCCCACTGCCACAGATCAGGGTCCCCTGGTCCCCCCCACCAGCCCCTGCTGCTGCGGGGGACCCCAGCAGGGGCCCTGCTGGGCTGGACCCCCATTGCCACCCCTGCCCCTGGGCCAAGACCCACAGCCAGCCCCACTACCAGGGTCCCTGTGGTGCCAGCCCACAGCTGCAAGAGCAGGGACACAGAGCCCGTCCCCTGCCCAGGGACAGCGCAGGAGCACCTCAGGGAAAGCAGGCGGGCAGCGAGAGCCGCCCGGAGCCGGCGCGGGGACAATAGCCGTGTCCCTGCTCGCCCCACGAGGCTGGCACGGGTGGCTGCCAAGGCTGAGCTCCGCGGAGCCGCCGCTTCTCCCGCTGGATCCCCGTGCCGTAAAAGGAGGGCTCAGCGCGGCCCCGCCGCGCGTGGCCCTAATCCAAGGCCCGGCCGTGCTTCACCCCCGCTTAATCCGGAGCCAGGGTGCAGCACGGGGTGGGGAGGGGACACGGGGCCAGGGAGCAGCATCACAGCCCTCGCAGACACCTGGTACAACAGGTACCCCCACAGAGCCAGGGGAGCAGCGGTGCTGGCTGCTGTGCCAGGCCACGCGCCCGGGCTGCGGCAGAGGGCAGGGGAAGGTGATCCCGGAGCCCTGCGCCGCCCGCGGGAGAAACAGCCCATTAAAAACCAGAGCACTTGTTGAAAGGCAGCTATTTTGGGCTGCCGCCGCGGAGGGAGGCGCCGCGCAGCCCCTGGGAGCATCCGTGGGGATGGGAGGAGGATCCCGCAGGAGAGGCCCTGGAGGCTGAGGCCAGTGGAGGGAGGGGAGGCTGGGGAGCCTCCTGGGAGCATCAGGTGCCGGTGCCGCAGGGAGCAGGCGCTGGCACAGAGCCCAGCTCCTTTGCATGGGCACCGGAGGCGATCCGGGCTCCTGCCCCAGCCCTCCCCTCGGCTGCAGGCTGAGGCCGCTGCCCTCCTCTGCCTAAGGGGGGGGCAGAGGGAGGGAATCTAGGACAGGAGGAGGAGGAGGAGCGGGGCTGCGGGCAGGGAAGCTGGGTCAGGCCGGGCACGCGGGGCGGCTGTCGCAAGCCCTGGGAACGCGCTGCCCCAAGGAGGGCACAGGGCTGGCGCAGGCGGCAGCGGCGGGGCCGTGTCCCCAGCCGCAGGGAGCAGCCGCGAGGGCGGAAGGGAGCGGGCTGGGGCGCGGGGCTGAGTCAGAGGCGCCCTGGAGCGGTGCCCGCGGCCCCGTGACGGCGGCACGAGGCAGGACGGGCCGGTGCGCGCGGCTGCGGACGAGTCACCGCCGGCCCGCCCGCCACCCCACTGCCGTGGCCGTCCCCACCCACGGGCTGCCCGGCGCTTCCTGCATGCGTCCGGGAACCTGCCAGGCCAAAGGTTAACAAACTTTACTCAATAAATAATTACATCATTAAAAACTGAAGTATTTCGCACTACGGGCTATAGCGGGTCAGCGGTGTCCCTGCTGCCGCCGGCCGGCCTCAGGCCCAGGTATCGGAGCAGGCTGTGGAGCTCCTGGCAGCCCGTGGTCACATCGGGGACAGAGGAGAGGACCTGGGGACAACAACGGGGTCAGCGATGGATAGGGATGGGGTCAGCGGGGAGGGAGAGGGGCAGAGACCTCCATCTCTGGCATCTGCCCCTCACCTCTCTCATCTTCTCCTTCATCTCCTCGTGGCTCCTCAGCTCCTTGTGCACGTGGCAGAGCCGCAGCTCCAGGGCTCGGATCTGCAGTGGGAGATGCCCAGGAGGGGGCTGCCCGGGGAGGGCCCAGCACCCCCCCAGCGCCCAGGCTCCCCCCGTACCTGCTCCAGGTACTTGGAGGAGAGCCGCGAGCTTTCCTCCTCTTTCTCCAGCAGCAGCAGCCGCAGCTTGTCCACCTAAAAGGAGAGGGATGGCAGCGGAGCTGGAGCCCCACAGAGATGGTTCCTGCTGCGGCACACGGGCCCACGAGCCGCTCATCCATGGGTCGTTGCCCCAGCTCGAGGAGCGGGACATGGGGCAGCCCCCGGCCTCACCTCCTGCCGCAGCAGCACTCGCTCCTGGACGCCGGCTGCGTCCGCCTTGGGCTCCTGCCCTCGCAGTTCCTCCCACAGCACCTTGGCCTCTGTCTCGGCGCGCTGCAGCGAGCGCTTCAGCTCCGAGACCTCCCCCTTCAGCCGCTGCGGGAGAGAGGGGACGCTGAGACCGGCCCTGTGGCTGGCACTGGCCACGTGGGGGCTCGAACTGGCCCCCCATCCCACAGGGACCCCACACGCACCGTGACCTCCCCGCTCTTGTCAATGAGTTGCAGCATCTTCTGTTCCTGCTGCTTCACAACATCCTGCAGCTCCTTCTCGTTCTGTAGAGACAAGCGGCCGCGTCAGGCCAGGACCCCCCAGCTGGCAGTGCCCACGCTGGGGCAGGGGACCCCCATGGGGACCATGAGCCGAGCACGGTCCCCACTCCGGGGACACGGCCGCCTCGCTGCGGGGCTGGCTCGGCAGCAGGGCCGTCCCGGAGCAGGTTCCCCGTGCCCGAGGTGAGATGAGCCCCGAGGACCCGCGGGGCACCGAGGGAGCCAGTTACCCAGATTCTCCGTGTCCTAGATCAGAGCGCGCCCCAGTTCGGCGCTGCCCTGGAGTGAGCGCTGCCCCACTTCTGGCACTGACTCACCTGTAGCTTGCCCTGCAAGGCCTTGTTCAGCTTGGCGATGGTGGCAGCCTGGGCGTCCGTCCTCTCCTGGCTCTCCGTGGTCACCTCCTCCAGCCTCAGCTGCAGGTTGGAGCTGCGAGAGGACAGCGAGAGGCTGAACGGAGGAGCCGGCCCAGCAGCGCGCACCACCACACACCAAATCCCTTGCCGAACCTCACCAGCCCTTCCCCAAGAGCCAGGGCAGGTGCCCCACAGCAGCCCCAAGGGCAGGCTGTGCTCGGGACGCGCTCGAGCCCCCGCGTAGCTCACATGTCCGTCTGCAGCTCCCTGAACTTGCTCTGCTCCAGCTCCTGCACGCGGCAGCTCAGCACGGCGAGCTCGGAGACGGCGCCTCGCAGCTCCCTCGCGCTCTCCATCAGGCCGTCCTCGGGCTCTGCGGGCACGGCCGAGGCGCAGGGGCGGTGTCAAGGGGACCGTTGCCTCAAGGGGGACACGGAGTCCCCCCCATTGCCCTCAATGCAGGGACAAGCCTGTGGCTCGGGGCAGGGTGACGGGCACCAGTACCTGTTGGCTTTGGCGTCGAGGCAGGGCCACCCCTGGTAAACGTGCTGGGGGCTTCATCAGCATCTGTGAGAGCAGAGGCACCGTGCACAGCCCCGCACGCTGCACAGGGCACGGCGAGACCCTCCTCACACGGAGGGTTGTGTCCCAGCCCGGGACCTGCTCACAAGGGCCTGGCTTGCACAGGAGAGACCTCCCAGCGCAGGGAGCAGCAGGACCCTGGGCCGCTCACCCCGTGAGCGGGACCCACAGCAGCGAGGGACGCAGGGAACACCCAGGTGCCCTCCTCGCCCAGCGCCAGCACGAGACACTTGCCAAGCACAGGGCAGAAGCTGCCACCAGGCCCCCGAGCAACACCCCAGACCAACACCCCTCCGGGCACCCAAATCCCGGGGCTCACCTTTCCCCGACGCTGCTTTCAGGACGCTGCCCACGAAGGAGTCTCCGGGGCGGTAGGGCGTGCGGCGGGCGGGCGTGCGGCACGCGGGCGTCCAGGGCGTGCGCGGCGTCTGCCAGGCGCCCGGCGTGCGCCAGCCCGGCGTGCGCGGAGCCGGCGGCCGCGCTCTGCCCCGCACGGGGCTGTTCTCGTCCTGTGGAGGGGGCGCAGGGCACAGTGCCGGGGTGCCGCTCGGGACACCTCCGTGCTGCCCCGCTGAGCAGCGCCCACGGCAGAGCCACAGGTGCCTGATCACGGGTGAGGTGGTCCCCACCTTGTCCTTCTCCCCAGGACGAGGCTCCTACCTCCTCCTGCAAAGCAGCTCTGAGACAATCGGCGAGGTCCTGCAGCCTCAGCTTGCTCTCAACAACGTCTACGGAGCACTGAGACACTTTGACCCTCCTGAGCTGCAGCTCCTGGAGCTCGGCCTTGGTGCTCTCCAGCTCCTTGCGGAGCGCAGCCCGCTCTTCCCTGTGGGAAAGGTGGCAAGGTGAGTGGGAGCACCACTTGCCCTGCTTGCAAGGGCACAGGGACATCTTCTAGACCTGCCTCCCCCATTACAACTCTGGGAGAGACCAAACCCCACAGCTTCAGGTCACAACTCTTTGCTTGCACTTCCCAAATCAGAGCAAGGAGATGGAGGCTGCTGGAATTGCACATGGCCTCTTCCCCACTATGTAATCATGCTCTGCTACAAGAACAGTGACCATTCCCTTCCCTTCCTCCCAAAGGGGCTCAATTTCCTCAAATTAAGGGTTATGTAACAGAGCGGGAAATGAAGGCCGTACTGCAGGCACTGGTGCAAGTCCTGGAGCTCCTGGTGCTGCCGGCTGCGCTCCTGCAGGGCAGCCAGCGTGGACCTGAGCTTGGCCTCCGCCTCCATGAGCTGCGTGCGGGACATGCGGTTCTCCTGGTCGATGAACTGCAGCGGGGAGGAAGGAACAGCCCTAAGCGCCCGGGAACGAGCAGAGGGAGGAGCATCCGCTGCATCCCTGGGCGGAGCGGGAGCAGCGGGAGGCTCGGCCAGAGCGGCTCTACGTGCAGGACGGCAGCGGCGCTCGCCGTAGCGCTAATCCCCAAAGCACGTGGTGCCCGCGGCGCGTGACGCGGCGGGAGGCTCGCGGTGCCCGCAGGTGTTTCCTCACCTCGCGGCACTCCGTCATCTCCCGCAGCTCCTGGCAGAGCCCGTCGCGCTCCTGCTGCAGGGCGTCCCTCTCCTTGGCCAGGCTGCCGGGGGAGAGGACGCGGTGACGACGGGGCCCCGAGCGGCTCGGGGCAGAGCGGGGACGGGACGGAGACGGTCCCTGCTCTGCCCTGCATGCCGGGGCTCGTGCGCGGACGCACCGGGCCGTCTCCTCGCCGTAGTCCTCGTTGTCCTGCTGCAGCGCATCCCGCTCCTGCTGCAGGCCGGCCAGCTCCTTCATGCGGCTGCTGAGATCTGCAGCGAGGCAGAGCGCGAGCGCTGAGAGCGAGGAAGAGGCAGCCGCGCGCCTTCCTCCAGCCCCAAGACGTGTCCCAGAGGGACCCCAAGAGCAGCAGAGGGAGGTTTTCTGCAGCTGCTGGAGCTGCACAAGGACAACTACTGCCCTGCAGAGCCCCGTCCCCAGGGACGAGGTCAGACGGAGCAGCCCAGGGGCCACTCCAGGCGCCCGTACCTGCGCTGAGGCGCGCGTTGGCCACCGTGAGCTGCTCCACGTGTGCCACCGAGTCCTGCAGGGCCCCCAATGTCTCCTCCAGCTGCCGGGAGGCCTGCAGAGACACCGTGCCCGTCTCTGCTGAGCGCGCATGGGCTGCACCAGCACCTGCTTCACCTCTGCGGCTGTGCTCGGAGCCGTTCACATGCTCTGCCCCATGGGACCTTCCCACCCAGGGATGCCCCATGTCACCTCCATCCCCTGGGGGGACAGCCAGGCTGCAGAGCAGCACCCCAGGTACCCGTGCTCAGCAGTAGACAACCCCGCTACCTCCTCCTTGGCTTGAAGGGCTTTGTCTGCTTGCTGCCTCATGGCATCCCGCTCGTCCAGGCAGCTCTGCAGCTTGCTGGGCACGCTCTGCAGCATGGCCTGGCACCGGGACACCAGCGACCTCACTAGCTCTCGCTGCAAGAGAAGGGGGTGCCCAGAGGATGAGTCCAGCTGGGACAGCCTCGGAGCCTGGCTGTCACAGCCACGCAGGTGTCTCAGGGGCCACGTAGCCCCATGGCACGACCAGGTTGCACCTCCTCATCCAGGGCCCTCCTTTCCTCTTGCAGGTTTTCAAAGGTGACATCTATGAATTCACGGAAGGGTCGAGACTCAGCAGCCAGAGACGCCTGCAGAGCAGGAGAGCAGGGTCAGGGCTGCGGGACAGAGCAGCCGCTTTGCCTCAAACAAGCAGCAGAGCGGGAGGCAAACGCCAGCCCGGAGCTCGGACCAGCAGCGCCAAGCAGCCTCTCCAGCAGCCCCCAGCTTGTCACAGGCCTTTGGTTTATAGTGCCCCAGTCCAGCAGGCAGCAGATTGGCCTGCAGAGCTGGGAGGTAGCCCTGGGCACAGCAGGGAGGCAGCTGGACGTGCGGCCCGCTCGGTACCTGCCGGTCCACGGCGTGTGCCAGCAGCGCGCCCAGCTCTCTCTGGGAGGCCAGGCCCTGCTCCCGCGCGCCGATCTCGGCGCTGGCGTGGGCGCGGAAGGCCTCCAGAAAGCGATCGCCCTGCGGAGGAGGGATGTAGAGCTCAGAGTGAACCTGCCACGCGGCCACACGCCAAGGGCAGCTCCTGGTGCCGGCTGGCACCTGGGTCTGTCCTTCACATGTTCTGCAGGAGCCCGGGGCTCTTCCTCCTGCCGTGACACAGCTGAGCCCGAGGCAAAAAGCCACAAACCCCTCTAGCCCATCCCAGGTGCTAATGGCATCTGAAAGGACCGTCCTTCCCTCCCCAGGGTTGGCAGATGGGGACACCCCATTCAAGGGATGGGGCAACAGAGCCCGCAGGTGGATGCCACGTCGCTACCTCCTCTTTGGCTCGCAGGGCTTCATCCGTGCGCTGCCGGAGGGCGTCCTGCTCCTGCAGGCAGCTCTGCAGCTTGTCGGGGACGCTCTGCAGCACGGCCCCGCAGCGGGACACCAAGGACCTCAGCTGCTCACGCTGCAAGAGGAGAGAGTGCCTGGAGAAGAGCCGAGCACAGCTCCGAGACACACGCTGCCATCCATGCCAGCGGTGTCACAGCCTCCCTCGCCCATGTCCGCAGGCCACCAAGTCCAGCCACTTCTACAGTGCAAGGAGCTGGTCTACGCAGCAGCCTCCAGCAGTGCCAACAAACCCAGCTCCAAAAGTCCCTTCCTGCCAGGCTGGTTTGGCTCCCGGCTGCCGGGCAGCTCTGAGCAGTGACTCAGCCAGCCTGCATCCTCACTGCCACGCTGAGAGAGCCGGCGGCTGCCCCAGGCAGGACTCACCTCCCAGGCCAGGGCTCCCTGGTCATCCCGCAGGCTCCGGAAAGCCGCATCCATGAGGCCGCGAAGCAGGAGGCACTGCTCAGCCCAGGCGCTCTGCGGGATCACGAGGATGCTCAGTGCAGGCTCCCCGGGCGGCGCAGGCAGCGCTGCCCACGCGCCTGCCCGCTCACAGCCCCGCGCACCGGCTGCCGAGCCGCACCGTGCCCGCGGCCGCCCGCTCCAGCTCCCGCTTCAGCTCCTGCTCCGCCGCCTGCTGCCGCTGCAAGGCCTCCGTCTTCCTCCGCAGCTCCACGTAGAGGCTGTGGTAGATCTCCTCCTCCTGCATGGTGCCCGGTGGTGGGGCAGCGCGGGTTTGGCAGCACCCAGCGCCATCCAGCCCAACCCACCTCCCACACGCGCTAGGGCTGCGGCGGCACCGGCCGCTTCCCCAGGGCAGCTCTGCCCTCTCATTCCCAGCCTCCCAAAAAAGGGCTTCACATTGTGCAAACTCATGGAGCTGAGCAGCACGAGCCATGTGTGATACCCGCGTGCAGCGCCGCCCGCGGCAGCAGCAGCTCCGCTTCCCTTCCACTCCACTTGCGCCCGCTGCGGCCCTGCCAGCGCCAGCAGGGCAGCCCTCAGCCCCCCCCCAGACCCCTGCCCACGCGGGCCCCGTCCCCGGCGCTGCCCCTCACCCCTCGGGGCCGGGTGACGTCCGTCTGCGTGAGCACGTCGCGCTGCGCGGCCGGCCCCACGGCGGGCAGCGGCCGCTGGCTCTCCTGCCAGTCGCGCAGCTGCAGCGAGAGCGCCTCGATGATGATGAGGGTGCTCTCCAGGCGCCCCTCCAGCTCCGCGCGTGGCAGCGACTTCAGCTGCTCCCGGGGACAGCTAGGGAAGGAGGGGAGCCCTGAGGACCCAGGCCCTGGCACGGCACAGCCCCGAGCCCCGGCGCCGCACGGGCACTTACTGCCAGAGCAAGGAGTCCGTTTCGGCAGCGCTGTCCTTGGCACCCGCGGGCCCCCGGGCGCTCGTGTTGGTGCCACGCTCCAGCAGCTCCCGCGGCGTCATGAAGGTGCCGGTGGCCGCGGTGGGCACGGGGGTGACGCTGGTGCCCGCGTCCTGCTGCAGCCCGGCCAGGGGCAGGCTGTGCCGCAGGGACTCGAGCAGGGACGACGCGTTGAGGCTCTTCTCCAGCCACACCAGCGGCATCACCCAGGACACGGCTCCCGTGGCCGGCTCGCACGTGGGCACCGGGGTGGCCGCTGCCTCCGGACCTGCGGGCTCCGACCCAGTGGCCTTGCTGGGTGAGGGCCCAGGGGGGTCCTGTCCTGGCGGGGTGAGGGTTGGGGACACGGGTCCCCCAGAGGTGCCTCCACACGGTGGGACAGCGGTGTCCCCATCCCTGCTGGGCTCTTGGGGTGCCACCGGGCTGCAGGAGAGCTCGGCGGGCGCCGCTCGCCACCCACAGAAAGGGGCTTCTTGTGGGGTGGAGCTGGTGCCGGGGGGCCCTGGGGTGCAGGATGCTGGGGTGGCACTGCCAGGGGAGTCTAGCGGGGTGCTGCCATGGGGCCTTGGGGTGCAGGGCCCCAAGTGGGGGCTGCTGGGCCCCAGGGGGAGGCTGCTGGGTGGCTCCTGGCTGCAGGGCTCCAGGGTGGCACTGCTGGAGGGCTCCAGGGTGGCACTGCCAGGGGGATCCGTGGCACAGGACACCTTGGTGGCACTGCCAGGGGGGTCCTTGGTGCAGGGCCCTACCACGGGGCTGCCAGGGGGGTCCAGGCTGCAGGGCCCCAGAGTGGTGCTGCTGGGGAGCTCTGGGGTGCAGGGCTCTGGGCAGGGGCTCTCAGGGCGCTCGTGGGTGCAGGGCCCAGGAGGGCTGGTGCTGCCCGCAGGCTCTGTGCCAGCGCTGCCGTGGGGCTCTGGGCTGCAGAGCTCCGGGGCGGCGCTGCCAGGGGGCGACTCTAGGAGCCCGGTATTGCCAGGGGGCTCTGGGGTACGTGGTTCTGTGGGGGTGCTGCCACGTGCCCCCGGGGGGCACTGCTCCATAGGGCGCTGCTCCAGGGGGGTGCTGCCAGGGGTCCCCGAGATGCACTCATCTGGGCTGGTGCTGCTGGGGGGCCCTGGGGTACAGAGCCCTAGGGGGGCACCGCCGGGGGGCCCCGGGGTGCAGGGCTCTGGGGCAGCACTCCCGGGGGGCTCTGGGGTGCAAGGCTCTGGGGGGGCACTCCCGGGGGGCCCCGGGGTGCAAGGCCTCCAGATGTTGCTCCCAGGGCGCCCTGGGGTGCAGGGCCCTGGGCTGCTGCCATCATGGTCCTGCAGACATAAGGAGGGTGGAC